ATGTATGTATGTATGTATGCACTAACTAAATTAGTAAAGGTAAAACATAAACATATATATATATGTGTGTGTGTGTTCATGTACAAATGTATACATACAGTTTAGCGCTAGGGCCTAGCGTGTCGAGGCAGTTTGAGCTTTGAGGCTTAGGCGCCCTTAGAGGCCTGGGGTTGCAAAGGCGCTCTCTCTCTCCTGAACTCGTCCGGTTTAAACCTTAAGCCTCAACCCTAAACCTTATACGGAGTTTATTTGGGGTTTGGACTTCAGAGCTCGAGAGTTTGGGGCTTTAGGGCTAAACTCTATTCGACTCTCACAATCGCACAAGGCAAGCAAGGCATTTATGAGGGTTTAGGGTTTAAGGCTAAGGGTTTCGGTTGGAGCTTAGGGTTCAGGGTTTGGTTTTAGGGTTTTGGACTCTGGTTGAACCGGTGAGACTGTGAGCCTTCTTGCAGCCCAGCTTGAGCCCCAAACCCCACTCAGCCGTAAGTAGTGGTCCCTTTTCCGTAATCAACCAGCTGGAGCAAACAGGTAAGCCCTCCCTTGCCCCAGAACCTCAGCAACCTAAAATATGGGAGGGAGCGTTCTGATCTTGAGGGGTCGTTTGCGGCATGTTGTCATATAGATTAACCGATGAAATAGTAGCAAAATCTAGATCACCTGTTGTACCAGCAACCCCTGTGACAGATAGCTTCGAAGGTGTGGAAGACCCTCACTCTCAACCGGCATACAGTACTTGGAGGATCATGGGACTAGGACTACAAGCTAAGACTTACTTATGAGGTTTTACACTGATATAACTGCAGCTACCTCAAAGTAAGGCTTAGGAGTTGGGCTATCTATGTCGAGTGGCGTAGACATCGCGTGCGTCCACAGCGCCATGAGTGGCATCCACGGGGCTGAAGGAGAGGCGACCTCCACTTAAGGGAGTGAGTCCTTAAAGTTTCCTTTAAGGAGTCCTTTAAAGGAATACTTTGTGCTTATGCTTTGTGTAAGGCTTCGGAAACTGAAGCTGAAGGCTTAGGGTGCTATTTAATGTAAACGGTGAGATGTGGATGGCAATTCAGCAAGCAAAGCCGGGGGTATGGGTTCAAGTTTAAGGTTCTCAGGACTGAAGTTCGCTGGTTCCCGTTTTTGAATGTGTGCCTGAGAAGCTTGATCGCTCTTTGTGGCATGACAAGTCTTGCACATTTTACACTGTCGGCAATCTGGGATCACGCCCTTCAAACGGTCAGACGGGCATGCAGTAGCACTGAACCTAGCAGTAGAGTGACACAAGCTCAGCTAACTAACGAAAAGCAATGCTCTTCACTCCCACCTGTGGTCTCAACGCTTCCGATGGTGTCATCCACGAAGGACTTGTCACCGAAGCCTCCGATTCAATGACGCAGCGTGTTTGTGAGACTCTTTCCGCCCCTGAAAGCCGGCCTCCACCCACACAGAACCCTAAATCACAAAGAAACAAACACTACACCGAAAAAGACTTTGTAAAAAAACAACAACAACCTTTAGACTCCCTTCTAAAGACCAGGCCCTAAGCCCCAATGTTGACTTTAAAAAAAAAGGAACATCCAAAGGGTGACCTTCCTTCAGTCCTGGAAAACAGATTTTTCAAAACCGTCCACCCTCGATCCAGCATGCCCGCACTCCGAACTTCTAATCCCTAAATCCCGAACACCTACATACTACAGGAACCCTTAAAAGCACCCTAAAGAAGAAAGGCAGAACCCTGGCTCCCGATGAACAAAACAGACTTAGTTTGCTCACTTTGCCAAGGGTCTGCAAACGTGGCTCTTGTTGGTCAGCTTTGTCACCTGCCGTAGAAATATCCCTCTAGGGGATTGAAACTGCTGCACTGTTATTCGTGGATCCGGGAAATGTAGAGGCCGTAATAATCGGAGTAGGGCTTGGACCCTGCAATTATCATAGGGAGTATAGGGGGATGTTAGTGGCTGAGCGATCCAAACAAGGGCTACGAATCAGGGCTTGCGTGTGAGAACCCCGACGTCCGGTATCATCCAAACCCTAATCCCAAAGCCTTACATCCTAAAACAAACCAAACCCTACATCCTAAACCTAATGCCTACACCCTACATCCTAAACAAAGAACCTAAACCAAGAACCTAAAATGGTTTTAAAGGGTTTAGGGTTTACAAGCTGCACATTGAAAGCCTCAACCCTGATACCTGGAAGCACTACTATAGGGGCCTTAACAATTAGGATAGGGTTTGGGGGGCACATTCGGCTCGGGACTCTGAAGAACCTGCCCTTATAAGGAAATCAAAATAATGAGACCTGAAACGGTAGGTTCTCTTAGGGTCCAGGTAAGGGGCCAAGTATTTTGTTGGTTTCTGGTACCCAAATTGGCCCCAAAGTCCTATAATAGGGAGCACTTGCACCGTTAGGGACACATCCCACGAGCTACGACTGTTGCAGTCACGCTCTTATGCCTAAGCCTAAACCACAACGCCCCGACCGAAAAGGGTGGCTCAAGACCCCCAAAAGCCATCCCAAACTCTCCGTCCTTCACCCTAAGTTTCAAACTCCAAACCCTCATTACATCAACAGACTGCATTCTACGATTCTACAAGCCAAACTCCAAAACCTGCACCCGGAACTACCAAGCCTGATCCTTGGAGCCTTCTACACCGAAAACCCCTTTACCTAAACCCTGTGACCAACGTCCCTCAATCTGGCACGACCATGAATTTAGGGCTTAGGCATAGAATGTTGGGCATTTTTCAACTGTCATGGGTTGGGGTATGGTGTACAGGATTGAGCGCAGGGTTTGGTCCACATCGGCGAAAACAGATAAAGCTAGGCGGACAGTGTTAGAGCTGCCGTTTGCAACGATATGCATGAATGTACAGTAAAAAAAAATTGATTCGGTGAGAAAAACCCACTATATTGGGAATTGGCTATGAATGACAAAACTATGATGACTCGAGACCCATATAAGAGGATACCCAAGTTCGGACCCGTGCAGGCAAGCCCAGGCTTCACAACCACTACCTTTCCCTCAAATCCACCCAAGATTTGCCTTAAGTCCGCAATCGAAATGTCCAAGGCAAAGCAGTCATAAGCTTCTAACACCTCAACCCTGAACTTTGCAATCCCAGAATTCGCAACACCTTGGCGATCTGACTGCGGAAGGTCTCGGAAGAGAACTTGCCGAGATCGTCGTCCTGGTGCTGTGCAGTCAAAACTCACAGCAGAAACGACCATCATTATGTTACATACATATATGATCTTACGCATTGTTTCCAACCCGATTCTAGTGCATCCTCTGCTTTCGATTCAAGCTTGAAGCGATTGGGTTGTGAAGTTTTTGGTGATTTTCCTGGACGTGCAACTCGTTGCGCTTTCCATCTCCTGCCGTGCGACAACAAGCCATGTACAATCCTAGAAGACAACCGAGACATCCCGTGTTTATATGCACCGCAAGGGGGGACGGCAAACGCAAGCACCCCTGGTGTTTTTGGTACAGGTGGCATAAGAGATTGTTCAGCCCAAGAACCACGAAACCTTCAAGGAACCAGATAAGACTGTTAATAGGATGAGCAATAGACACATCACCAGGAAGACGACGCAAGCGGTGGCGATGCTAGAGCTGCTGAGGAGAAACTCCCAACATGTGCATTGTTCCGAAATTATGCCGGTGGACCTGCAGGGCAAAATCAAAGTCAATAGTGACCACAGCGATGCTTCAGAAACCCGGAACGATCAGAAGAATCAGCACCATTATCGTCAGCCCACAACATCAACATTAACACTTATCATACCAGCGAGCGGCATCAGCATCAACGTCGTCGACCAGCATCAACAACATCCTCGTCGGTGGCTTTTGCCATCAGTAAGCTTATGACTAATCACAGTCACCGCCATCGCAACAACCAGCGGTACTTTCGGGGTTCCTTTATATAGGTATAGCATGGGTTCCCTATTGTAATTATAAAACCCCCCAGACCCTAAACCCTATTCTAATTGTTAAATCCCCTATATAATACTATTATTATGCTGTGTAGGTATAGTATAATATACCCAAAATCCTATTACCCCTAAACCCTATTCTAATTATTTAAGCCCCTATATAATACTATGATTATAGTGTACCTAAACCCTATTCTAATTATTCAACCCCCTTCATAATACTGTTATACTGTACCCAAACCCTATTCTAATTATTAAAGCCCCTATATAATATACTGTAGCCAACGGTGTCCTGCATCCAGTTCACCGAAAAGAGGTCGCCCAAGCCTCAAGAAGCCCGGTTCGTCTGTAGGGCTTCGTTTCGGGTTTTATTTAGGGTTTAGGGTTTCGGGTTTATCTAGGGTTTAGGGAAAATCGACTTCCCCGCTTTAGGCTGCTGACACCCTTATAATAGGTGCTTAATTACCTTCAGACGTGGGAGAGCGCCAACGTATGGCTGCAGCTGTTGAACTCTGCAGACGAGAAACAAGAGCCCACATTCTTGCCCTTCACGATGGCTGCATCACCTTGGAGGAGGCTTGCAGGCATAACTTACAGTAGGATCTCGGGCCCAACCTACATTTTCATGGACGTATTATATAAGGAAATCCTAGTAATGAACTCTCAACGGTATGATATTTGGGTTCAGTGGTTATAGGGTTTAGTCACATGCCGCAGGCCCCGGACTCTACGAGCCCACAGTCCTTGCCCATTCACCCTTCACTCACGCACAGGCTTTGAGGCGTACAAACTGTCCATGTATTGCAGGGACAGAGACAACACTACCCACATACGTCACCACACACGGGAAATAATAGAATACAGAGGCTGAGAAGTGGCACAACGCCAACTACGGGGCTTCTGTGAGGAAGGAGCCTATCTGGACTTCCGTGTTCGTTTGGAGGAGGCTCACCTCGCGCAAATTGAATCCAAGCTGCCGCAGTAAGTGCCCCACGAAGACTCCTGAGGCCAAGAACATGGGATTTTTGCCCTTAACCCACAGTCCCACATTCTGCATGCTGAACGGTTCTTCACGTCCAAAATTCACTACTGGTTCTCTAAAGTAGGGTCCCTTATAAAATGGACCCAAAAAAAGGAGCCTAATTTAGAGAACTACCCAGATAGGGATCCCGAAGGGCAATGCCTAACCCCGGCAGCGCTTGCAATGCAAGATCTCGGCAACCTAGAGAGCCCAATATAGTAAACCTTTCAAAAGTTGGAAACCTGATAAAGGGCAACTAGCGCTGGGCTTCCCTATACATTACTCTTCAGGATTGAGGCTTTTGGGTTTCAGACTTGTGGGCTTCTACTGTACCCTTTAATTAAGAAACTTGCTTTGAATTAGTATTTTCAGCCCCCCCTATAATCTAAGGTATAATCCTTAATTACGGGATAATGGGGCTCTCTGGGAACCTCATAAACCAACCGAGGGGCATCTGCGTTTGAGGCGGTCACAGCCAAAATCTTGGAGTCCTGCCGGCTGCAGTGGCGGCTTAGACTCCTGAAGCCCTCAATGCTGAATCACAAGTCTCAAGATGTCGTATTGCTAAGACCTGAAACTCCGAATCATGACGACTGGTTACATTCAAATCCTCGCATGTAAATCTTCAGGGACTGCCAACCCAAAATTCGACATCATGGGCAAAGCCTGTCTTGAAAGGTCCACGGGAATTGAGCTTCGGAAGGTTAACGGTTGTTGAGCAACGTAGACACGAGGTTCATATGCATGCAGATATACAAACATGCTATGCAATAATGAACAGTCGGTAAGGTTCATGTCATGTAACACAATACAACGGCCAGGAAGTCACGCTGCCCTCATTGCAATCATCAGCCAGAAAGAGACGACCGGACACTGTCATATGCGTCCAAGGGCTTACAATTCATAGATTTGTTCCTCTAAAGCCCAAAACTCTCTCGTAAGCATGAACGCTGCCAAAAGCTTCAGTGGGGCTGAGGCTTCGGTTTTGTCAATCAAGCGCTTGAATGGTGTCACCCACATGTCACACCCTGAAGGCTGTAGCCGAAACGCTAGTGCAAGACTCATGAGACATAGCCAAGCACTGAGGGGCGGTCAGAAGATCGGCAGGGAAATCATGATCTCGCATGTAACAACGTGGTACCGAACCCTTGAGTCCTTAGGCTCGTGAAGCCCTCTTAATTTTGTGTGTGTAGGTATGTATATTTATGCATATGTATATATTTATTTGTTTTCCTCATAGATGTACATAGTTATGATTTATTTGTTTACTGGTTACATTTATTTATTTATGTACTTGTTGTTTTGATTGTCTATGTTTATATACGCATCATATGCTTATTTACATATTTTTGCCATGTAAACTTTATTCCGCAGGGCCTTCTCGAGGTCTGGGAACATGGAGCCACTTTCGCACGCTTCCTTGGATTTCCAAAGCTCCGGCACTACTTGGGGGAACAGGGAATTTGATGGGTCAGCTAATCAAGAACTCGACCAAAAAACATGTAAGATCCAACAGAGCCAAGCATACTGGCAGTCAAAGGGGCCATGTAGAAGACCATCTCCTTGAACATGTGCTTGCTCTGCATTGTCTTCAGTGTCTTGGAGAGCTCCTGAGAAGTCCATGGGTGGACCATACTGTCTGGTGGCTCAGAGGCATGCACAAATACTCGTGTGAATCAATGCCCGTTGTGGTCCATAAAGCCATGTACGTATGTGGAGTACTGCATCTCTCTACATGACTGATTCCACAGAGCACTCGCATGTTTGGAAATCGACTCTCCGTTGCTAAGAGCGGGCAGGGTCAGCCTGTTACATGTAGCAAGGTAGCTACTTGGAGGGTCGGGGCTTTCGTAATCTAAAAAGTAAAAGTATCAAACCCCAACTAGGATCCGGTTTAACGTGCTTGAACTACAATGATGCACAATGATTACCTACTCAAAAATCCCCCGACCCTCCAAGTAGTAGAGCGGCTTAGCAGGCATAGCTTGAAAACAAAAATCAGCTGCTGCTGCACCCCTTCTTGGGGATCAGGGTGCGTGGACAATTTTCTAATCTCCCGGAACCTCCAAACCTTAATCCGTGAAACTCTACCAGTCCAAGCAAAAGACGTCTTGGCCTAGAGGACGGAAGCATGAGCCTGATTTGGCTCAGGTTCTTAAATCCAGATCAGCATCTCCTTGAACCCTGAAACCCTAAAGCCTACCCTACCCCGCTCTGCAATATGAAACCCCTAAAGCAACCCTAAACCCTAACCGGTACCTGGTGAACCCAGGGCCCCTACAAGCGAAGCCCTGCAAGGAACCCACAAATCCCCCCCTCCGTCGCCTTCACTGTCAGCACAGGGCCGTTGGGGAAGGCAATGATGCCAGGGCCTCAGGATCCAATGTAATGTAAGGGGCCTTAATAATTAGAATAGGGTTGGGGGGGGGGGGGGTATATAACGCAACAATTATAATAAGGAACCTCCAAAACCCTATTCCAATAGAATAGGGTTTGGGGTGGTACACTATACTAAAGATGATAATTAAGGAACCCCCAAAACCCTATTCCAATAATTAAGGCCCCTACATTACGGCTCAAGGCTCAAGGCTTCCTTGCAAGGGATGCGGCTTTCTAAGAGTAGGGTGTAGGTTTAGGGTTTTGGGTTTTAGGTGTAGGGCTTAGGGTTGAAGAGTGGCGCATGCGGTCGCCGTTTATTCAAAAATCTTGAATGGCTTTGGGTCTCGAGCAGAATGCAGAAAATGTCCACGGCGAAGGGCTTCTCAACCCACTAGACGCCGAGATCCCTAAACACGACGACTCTTTAGGGTTTAGAGGTTTAGGGGTTGGGGTCCAGCCCGCAAGAAACCCAAGCCCAAAGCCACTGAGCCCAACAATGTTGAACTTGAGCGCTAACCCTGAACCTTAGACACAAAACCTTACAACCCCAAACCCTGAACCACCAAAGCAACACAGAATTTCCATCCCAAACTCATCCAAACCCGACACGAAGAACCGAACTTCCTAAACCGTAACGCCTGAAACCCTGACACCAAAACCCCAAAAAACCTTGTGGTTTTCTTCTTACTACTGCACCCAAAGCATCCACGACTGTTTCATTAACATCTGCTGCAGGAACTGCCCTACTAGCTGGATGCCTCCGTGGTCCACGAAATTGACGAAGACCATGTCGCTTGCACCGCTCTTCAGCACCTTCAACATCGAGGTGTTATACGCTCGGCCCAGCAAGCCTTCCAACGTACTTTCGGTGCGTATGTGTATGTAACTGTATGTATTTATATATGAAACTCTATATACATATATATATATATGTACACACAAATTGGTACACGCGTACATACAGGTCCCTGTGTTTTTTAAGTTGAAGATCGCAGGGCTACAGAAATGTTAGGTTTAGCCCGGACAAGCCCAACGACGTTCAACTCATACCCCCCCAAACCGTCTTGCCTTGCCCTTGGCGCCCTCAGTGTTGCCAGTAAGGACGTCCATGAACAGCTGGCCGGTCACAATCTGAGAGGGCGCCAGCATTTCCAGAGTTTTCAGTCTTGCGACATTTGTTTCTGTTTTTGTTTCTATCTTGCGACTCTCGGATAATTATGGATCTAGGGTTTGGGTGCATCTGGATTGCAGGGCATGTCAAGTCTCTCTTGCATGCGACTCTGCCGCAGGGCTAAAACAATGCCGGGATCTGGAACAGATTAGACCAGTACTTTGGGAATCAGGGGACTTGGTAAGCCATGGTCCCTAAGCCCTTGCTCCCCTAAACCCTAACAACCCTGAAAACTGAAAACCCCAAAAGCCCTAAACAACCCTAAGCCTCTTCAAACTCCACAGACCCGGTGCCGATCACTCTTCCCTCTCTGGCGAACTGCCGAGGTGCATCCCCAGAGTAGTCCACCTTGCAACCCTTGTAGACCTCCATCGGCTGAGATGTGGTAGGGCTTTCGGGTTTAGGGCTTTTGGGTTTTAGGGCCGAGTCAGGGATTTAGCTTGGAGTGCCGGGGCTGAGATTCAATGCCTTCTGGGGTTTCGCTTTGTAGTTTTATGCAGTATGTTGACATCGTGTGCTTGGTCAGAATGCGCGCAACAGGAACCCCCAATCTCGATCCCAAATGACTCCAACGATCAGTCTAAGTAAGGCTTTAAGGACCCATTTAAAGATTCTAGAATGTTCCGCGAATACTACGGAACAAGATATTTCAGGGGCTCGTGTCGATGTGTCATCCTGGTCTGCAGCAAGGATCCTACGCTTATGCTTGCCATGCACCCCAACAACACACAACCGGTAACGCAGCTAATCACCTGGTTCATGTAGCATGCCTCCAAGCCTCCTACGTCTTGCAAGCCATAAGTACCAGCAGCATACCATCAGCCCCGCAACCTTGCACAACTTCGTAAATCATGCCCGCTTGACCGTAGGGTGTGACCTGTTAAACAACAGGTAACTGGATTCAATAGGGAAATACCAAGCCGAAAGGGTAGGGTACCTTGTATAAGGTTGCTGTACTATATTTGGGATCCACGAGCCTCAGTAAGCACTGGTTTCAGGAAGTGTAGTTGCTATTGTCCATGCAAGGAGGCGAAAGGGGCCGCTTTGTTCTAAAAGCCCAAACCCTCAACAGCATCCCACGCCCCCGAAACCCCATGAATCCGAATCCCTAAACCCTAAATCCCCCGAAACCCCATGAATCCGAATCCCTAAGCCCTAAACCCTAAATCTCTCCAAAACCCCATGAACCCGAACCCGAAGAGTGACCAAGGCACATCGGGCGAGTCATCGCCAGGCTTGTTGAAGAGCTGGCCCGGGAAGGGGTTCTCCGAGCTGTTTGCCACATCGTCCTTCGGTTGGCTGGTGGAGGGGGTCGATGGTTACGGTTTTGGGGTTTAGGGCTTAGGCTTAGGCTTAGGGTTTTGAGTTAAGACACTGAGCACTTCGAGGATCAAAAGACATAGTAAGTAGGTTCATGGACCGTGGATGACGAGCTGTGTATCCTTTCTATAAATCTATTCGTTCAACAGCTCACCGTCTAAGGCGTACGATTGCATTGCTAATGTGGACAACGACGCAAGTACTCAGTTAAGAACAGTAAGTCTTGCTTGTTCTCTGCTTTTCTCTGAAATCCGGAACTTGTAACAACAAAAACTATGTTCCTGAACCCCAAGTTCGTCTACTGCGCCTAGGTTAATGTATCCTAGACTTTTATCAACTGTCAATGCCATAATTATGATGTGAGGGCCTGCATCATGAGGATGATGTTGTCTGCCGGCACGCCACTCTTCAGCATGAGGTGGTAGGCATGGCACGCATCTGCCTGATGGCGGTAGTTCATGAAGCCTGGCAGTGGTGAAACATTGGAAACATGCTGCTCTGGTGGGTGTCTATACCGAGAGCACTAACGATGTGTGATAGGGTTACATCGATTTCAGTTTGGAGCCCCTGCTTGTCGTTTTGGAACAAGCCCTTCACGTTGCAGAACATGTCTCAATTCGAAGATGCGGATGTACAGGGTTTGGATGTGGTCCGAGGTTTCGGAGCTTGGGACAGATGGGCTTAGCAAGTGGAGTTTAGCGTCAGCATCCATGGCACATGTGCACGAAGCACAGGAACGAATTGAATCGGAGACGGCTTTTTGTGCAACCTGGTCCAAAACCCAAAAGTCTATACTCTCTTGGAGAACCAGGCTGTAAACGCATACATACATACATACATACATACATACATACATACATACATATACATATACATATACATATACATATACATACACATACACATACACATACAAATACAAATACAAATACATATACATATACATATACATATACATATACATATACATATACATATACATATACATATACATATACATATATATATATACATATGTATTATATATATATATATATCATGTGTGTGTGCGCGTTTCCAAGCAGCATCGCCTCAATGTTGCCAGCATCACTGCGCGGAAGTCTGGCAAAAGGATTTGCTCCGTGTACTTGCTCATCACCTTGAGCGCTGGTTGAGCAGGGCTTGGCTCGGGGTTCAAGGATTTAGGGTTATGGATTTCGGGTTTAGGGTCTAGGGTTGTGGATTTCGGGTTAGGGTTTAGGGTTTAGGACTTAAGGTTATGCTACCTGGGAGGTTTGCAGGCACAGGTCTGTCTCAGCGTAGAGCGAGGCAGCTCACTCCGGATCGAAATCTGGGTAAGTCTTCCAGCCGAAATGCTCTCGCTCCTAGAGTACAACCCCTCGGCACGTTGAACTTCGGTGCTGGGCCAGCATTGGGCAGCTCGGCCCAACATCCGAAATCGCAGTTCTGGGCTTTGGGTGTGGTGCCTTGCAGCCTGACTCTGACACAAGCTCCTGTGCAGGATCCGAGCATCGGGCTCCAGCCAACCCTGGCTAAGCAGCTAAGCCCTAAACCCTTTCAGTCCTACCACACTCAATCCCAAACCTGACATGGTCAAGCTTTTCAAGGCCCTTAGGAGCTCTGCCAAAAAAAGGCGAAGGCACCAGCAGAAGCACGTCGCACTCTTCCTCAGGCGACTGGGTAAAGGATTTGAAAGCCCCATTCGACCCGAAGTCGAAGTTTAGGGTTTAGAGTTTAGGGTTTACTTGGTACACTTCTCGATTTGCAGGGTTTAAAAGGGTTTAGGGTTTGCTTGGTACACTTCTCGATTTGCAGCGTTTAAAGGGTTTAGCATCTAAGGCTTCGGAGCTTGCTTGAAGGTTCATGGGTGGTTATTCCTGGGGCAGAAGTCCTGTACTATGGGTTTTTCACTACAGCTAGCCTGCCTATACCTGTACTTACCATGAGCGTCCAAGTAGGGCCTAGGGCTGAGGGCTTGAGGGATTTTTTTGGTTGGCTTTGGGTTTATATAACATAGTATAATATAGTATAATTTAGTAATATAGTATAATGTAGTATAAAATACAAGAGGCCCGAAAGCCTACATTTACCAAACGTGGCTCTGTGAGCACGCTCTCGACATTAAAATTTTCGACAAACCTTGTATCCAGGTCTGACCGGGGAGCGTCCAGAATGCAAAGAGGGTTTGTGACACAACATGCTTCCACTATTGCACGAAGTATGGAAGGAAGTATAAAGCAGAACAGTGCTAGACCGTCCCGTGTGAGAAAGATCCTACCAGCTGGCGGCCTGTAGTGGGGTAAACCCTACACTACACCCAACCCCAACCCAAGTGAGCTCCTGCAGTCGCGTCGAGTTGGCGATGTTGAGAACCATGGCATCAAACCTTGCAGGAGCGTGAGGGCAGGAGCATGTGAGGCTGAGAGTGCGCACAAGGCCCTGTGGGAGAGATGAACGCCTAATTGTGCTCTATCTACATCGGGACCCTTTTGCCGCTAAAACCCAAAACTAGCATGTTCAGGTTGCGGGATGGGTTGGATCTTCCAGCGGAGATGAGGCTTAGAACTGGGATGCAGGCCCCGTTTCTGACTTGCGAGAGCAAAGGGAAAGGGGCCCTGAGCTATCCGTCAGTCCATATCCGTCAGTCCAGAAAGTCTTCTCACCTGAAATACCAAATGAAGATTGACTTTCCTGCCCGGAGGCTGGTCCAAAACCATCTCCATCCACTTCGAGCTGCCATACCTCAGCGCGAATGGGCTCATGGGCGGTTGCAGACCGCCCAAGATACAGCTTCGGGGTCGGGACCTCAAACTTCCTCTGAAGGCTGGCGCATGAACCCGAAATCCGGTCTCTCAGCTGGGGACCTCACTGTCGGCGTTAATTACAAACTATCCCGCCGCCGGACTCTCGAATTTACTCCGCCTGACATCGGAGATGATGTTAAGCAGCATCGCATAAGGATGTGTGTGGCATTGAGCACGATGGAGCTGCCGTGAGTGATAGATGCGCCATCTTCGGGGACATCATATGCGAACCACCGCTGACCATCATGGCTAATGGTCCCCACTGTTATTCTCCGCCACCGAGACACAGCTGCTGCTGACATGGGAGCCTCTTCATTCTTACGGTGCTGTTTGGGTTCTAAGCTAATTATATAAATGCGCATGCAGCGACATCCGGCCCTAGCATGCCGGCCATGGCCAAGATGGAGACAATCACCCCCCTTCTATGGTATTCAAAGTGGGGTCCGGGACTCTTAAAGAGCCTTTTTCTGGGAAGCCGTTGCCAAGGTTCCCGGGGTGGGGAGGGTCATCGACCCGGTCGATATCGACAGATACACACACACACACCCATATATATATATACACACACATACACATACACATACACATACATATGTTAATTTGGTTTATCTGTTTTATACGTATTCTTATTATCTATCCAAACATGGTCCTGTCGGTGGGTCAGCTGCTGGCCGTGGCTTCGTCGTGGTCTGCTCGGTGATACCGGCCTGTGGTCTCATCGGTACAGTCGGCGGTCCACTCGGTGTTGTGCGGCCAGTGTCATGTTGGTGTGGTGTGGTCGGTGTTCCGGTGGTCGGTGTTATTCGGCGGTTGCCCAGCGGTCGGATGATGGTACCTTCAGTGGCACTTTGTCCTGCCATCGCTGGTCTCCATTGTTAGTGGTCGTGGATCGATCGTGGCGTTTGGTGGTCGCTGCAAGCTTGTCTTGTTACTGTTGGCTCGGTGTGGTCCATTTGGTGTGGTCGGTGATCGAGCGGCCCGGTACGCGTCGGTGGTCTGAAATGATACTGGTCGTGATGTTTCCGGTGGATGGCTCCGTGGAATGTCCCTTGGGCCGAGCCCTCCAGTCCAGGTTTTAGGCTTTGGGATTTAGGGTGGGTTTTTTGCCTCCCGAATAGCTAGGACGCATATCGAGGTGGCACCATGCCGTTTCCAACGGGTCATGCCGAACTTGGGCACCAATGCGGCATAATGCGGCGAGGTACCCCATCACAGCAGCATTGAACAGAAACATCTCACGGAAGGAGTTGGGCACCTTTCGTCCGAATCGGGGAGGGTTCGGACTGACTTGACGGGCGTAGGGCTTATGCGCTTCGGGGTGAGTGCACAGGGGCAGAAGAACCTGAACACTCAGCCTCTTGTCATGTTGTACAGCAGTGTCATGTATCTAGACATGTCCTAATTAATTAGGACTGAATCAGGATAGACCTACTGTTGATAATACAAATCCTGCAGTACCTTAAGGACCGTAAACTACGGGAATTATAGTATATTCCTTATTTTGGGCAATGCAGGATTTATATCATCAACCCTACGGAGCGGCTCGTTGCTGTCTGCCGAAAAGGCCTTCATCTGCGAGTCGTGGGCCGTCTTTGCAACCTCGGTCGAAGCCTTGCCGCCGGCTTCTTCCTTTGCCGTCGGTCGCGAAGGGTTTAGGGTTTTTTTTCCCTCCTACATGCGGGCTCGTCCTTGCTATGTAGGAGGGTTTAGGGTTTAGGGTTGTAGCGCCGCACGTGCTCATCTGCGATCATAGCAATACTTAACATTCTTGGAACTACATCTCCTTCTGCTGCTGCTAGTACAAAGATTGCCATGCGAATGCCAGCAACACTCCTGCTGGGACAACAACACCACCATCACCACCAACAAGGACTGGGCTTTGAATACTATTAGCAATCATTGCTCTCATCCAGTCTGTAGTATATCCCTCACTTTCAGGCCCCTCTGAGTCAAAGAATTCCGAAAGCCTCAGGCAGGGTTGGAAGCTGCTACAGGAAGCCGGAGACTCCTGCTTCTGCGCTTCTGCAACTTGGTTCTCCTCCGCTGCTTCCTCATCTTCCTGCACAGGAGCGCTCCCAAGTACTTCGAAACGGGCCGCGTGTTCTTGGCCTCCCGCCTTGCTAGGACGAACATACGACTCAGGGTAGATATGCTGCAAGTCAGATCCACGTGATGTCATACCAAAGCCTCCACTTACAGGGACAAAAGCTGCAGGAAATTCAGCTTCGAGACCCGGGTTACAGTACAATGTTTGGTTCGGGCAGTTGGACTCGAAGGCGTACATGATGAGAAGATGATGACCTTACTGTTCCATCGCACTGCTATGAAACAAACACAGGCAGCACCCGGTCCCCCGACACCTCCTCGAACTTCAACTTTTGAAATGCCCAACATCTCTAAGTCTAAACTTACTAAACTCTAAGCCCTAAGCCCTAAACCCCAAATCGAAGGCAAAGCAAGTGGGCCTCCGTTTTCGGCTGCTCGCTCGCAGCTGCAGCTACAGCCGGAAGTTCGGCTTCATCCTCGGGCTGCGCTGCGGCCTCACGACAGGAAAAGCCCCCGATTTTTTAAAGGGTGGGCCTATGCCTATGCGTCTATGAGGTCTAGGGCGGATGTGAAATTTCGGATTTTGGGGGGGGGTCTAGGATCTAAGGGTGTGCTGCTAATTCCTGGCTCGGGGTGGCTGCCCTCATGCAGCGTTGTGTCTTGGGGCACCTTCAGGACTCTGCATCTCCGATTCTGTACCCTATAACAGTTTCAATCAACCCGACAGGGCTGCGCTTCTCTCGAGAAGTGTGTTGCTTTTTCGGGCTTAAGGGTCGTTGTTTGCAGCTCGGGGTGGAACTTTATGATATTTTATAGGCTCATAGCACCGGGGCGGGGGAATGGAAGCGGACATCGTGCCATTGAAACTCCGATGAAGCCTTGTTGGCTTCCCGCCAGCTGCGGTGAATGATCCGGATGCGCGCCGCATACCTGCCACTCAGAGCAGCAATCGCCCTAAACCCTAAACCCTAAACCGCTTTCGGCACCCACACGAGGCTTCAGTGCTACAGTGCTTTCAGACATTGCTTTTCGTGACACAAACTAGCGCGCCTCGTGCAACCGAGACTCCCAAGGCCTCTACCGAATCACTGATCCGAATACCGTGCTATAGCTCACAACTCCAACTTCAAGTCATGAGCTTGGGGAGGGTGGGTTTTTTCGGGGGGTTGGGGTTTACGGGGGAGGATACCTGAAGTAGGAGATGCCATGAAAGCATAACTTGATCCTGAAACCTCAGCTGCCAGCCTCCAAACTCCAACCCCAACCATCCGAGCCAGGCCCGCGAAGCATCCAAAACCCTAAGCCTTGCAAACTAGTGTAGGGCCTCAGTGAGTCGAACAGGCTGTAGGCCGACACTTTGCTATACTCTCTTTGTGTGTGTGTATATATATATATACATGTACACATACATACATACAACCACGAATACGAATGCAAGTACAGATGCAAGTATAAGTATGTAAATATAAATATATAAAACATAAGTATACAAGTATAAAAACAGATGCGAATGAGTATGTATATATGTGCATATCCAACACTATAGTGACAACAACGAGGCGATTTAGGGTGTAGGGTTATCCAGACCTCAAATATTGCACTGTAGCATTCACAGCCGGGCCGCTCCCTTTGGTAGAAAACATAGGCGCCGCCCCAGTAGTTCAAAAGAGCAAACCATCCAGCACGCGCCTGGACCGGTCAAGTCAATTATTTTTTTAAGAACGTTTTCTTTTTTAAGTTAAGGGGGCATCAAGAGTTTAGGATTTAGGGTCTAGGACTTTCTAAACCCTAAACCCTAAACCCATAGCCCACAGGGTCTAGTGTTTAGGTCTTCGGCTTGGGGTCTGCCTAGGACTCGAAGGGCCATTGACGGCTTCGGGTGTCCAGCATTGAGGATGCACGTTTCGGGGCTGGAACCCTAAACCCTAAACCCAAAACCCAAAACCCAAAACCCCTAAAGCCCTAAGCACAAAAAGTTGCTCACCCTCATTGCTCGGGGCGGGGGGTTCTGTGGAAAGTTGTGCACATGGCATGGTTTAGGTTTAGGGCTCATTGGAGGCTTAGTTTCGAGCGTTGTGAGTATCGGTGGCTTATGGCTCCCCCGTCGTCTCGGGTCGGATCTTTGAGTGCAGAAACGGATGCAACCATGAAACAAAAAAAACAAAGGGGCTCAAAAAGCACGCAAGACCCGACTGAATCGAAAATATCCTCTACCCCCGGCTTCTCTGCTCCCCTACAGCCCCAAGAGTCATAGATGCGTAGATGCATATCTATATACTCGAATGTATGTATACACATGCATATGTACATACACACATACACACATACGTACATACATACATACATACATACATACATATACAAATATATAAATCTACCTATACATGTACATCTACCTATACATATACATGTACATGTACAGTACGGGCTTGTAAGTAAGTCTCAGACCCGGAAGATGCAGCACCGCACCTTGGGAGTGAACTCCGAGGCCAATTCGGCCTCCCACATGTCGAGCATGGCATCGCGCACAATCTCCACGGCCTCATGCCGCAGGGAGCTTTCGGGTTTAGGATTTAGAAATTGGGCTTCTGATGAAAAGGGGTCATCCAGTTGTGTGTGTGTGCGCCGGGTCCGACGTTTGTGTGCAAGATTAAGGCTCAAAGTCACGGTGCTTTGATGTCTGAGGCTGCAATTTAGGTCAAGTGCTGTACATGAATGTAGCTTTCCAGCCGCGGTCGACTTCAAGCATCTCTTCAAGATTGACCTTGGTGGTTTCGACTTAAACGGGTGCACCTGTCTTCGTGCATTCGCCTTCCCACCCTTCGCTGGGATCTTGCATCGCGGTTGGGGAGACACTGCCGAGAACTAGGAGAAGAACATCAACAGTTTTAGGGCTTCGGGAATGAAGGTTTAAGGGGGTCTTTCAAAAACTCTATGGTGTTTAGGCTCCTGTGCAAGGATGTGCGGTGAAGAACACAGAAGCTTTCTTCCGGAACTGGAGACCAGGCTTTCGTGTGGCATCCCTCGTCTTTTGAATAGGGCGGCAAAGCATGCGACTTACCTTGCATTCGAAGCAGGAGTATTGCTATTTTGCTGGGGTTCTGAAGTAAACACTCTGTAGGCTGAGTCGCTGAGGAGCTAAAGTCTTGGTCCCTAAGAGCTGTAAACACCAGGCTACACCAGGAATCTCCACTTGGGCAAGGTACCTGGGACGTGACCGGGCGATCCAGGTGGCGGAAGGAGATGATGTCAATCTGCAGGGATTTCCCAAAGCCTAAAGCTCCTAATCAACGTAGAGCTTTTAACCGAGAAAGATCCACAAAGTCGTCGAGAAGTGGCAGTCCAAGAAAGCGATTTGGGGAGATAAAGAGACAAATCTTCTCGTCTTGCAGCAGCCAGGGCCTGGATTTAATGCAGCAGCATTTGCTGCACTGGAGCTGCTGTCCCGCAACTAGCACCAATAGCACCACCATCACGACGACGTCGGTAAATGCGACAAAGACAACTAATCGAGCACTACGATCACGAAAATGACAAACTCGAGGACACCTCGACAATCGACAACGACGACGGCGGCGACTAAGACGACGGTGCGTACTCGTTTTGCTTTAAACTGCTTTCAAAGGTATTGTGCTTGGGTCTGAAATCCGCCCATGGGATCGCGAGTTTTTGGCTAAGGGATCGAGGCAGGGGCTTCTTGCTCGGAATTTCCCCACCCCCCCCCCGACTCTTCGACCCGTCTCTCCAAACCCTCACCGGCTCCCAATGATCGCCTGCGTTTTCAGCTCAGTGGGGTGGCTCAAAGCCGCGACGATCGGCTGTATGCCCATTACAATGCGCAAGTACAGCACCGTTCGTGGAGTCTTGAAGTACCTCGGACTGCTGGACCAAACATGAAACGGGCAAGCATTGCATTGAAGGTGCGGAGCTGGACTCATGTTAATCTTAGGCCTAGCTGATAGTGACGTGTTCGGAGATATCATATTTGCCCATCATTCATAAACCCTAAACCTAAACCCTAAACCCTAAACCCATCATTCATCCGGCCCAGTGGCGAGTGAAGGCTGGGTGCAGCTGCCCACCAGGCATTGAAAATCAATTCTCCAGCCGCCTCTGGCGAGCCTGGCGAGGACTAGGGGGGTTCCTTTAAAGGAACTATAAGGGTTTAGGGGTTAGGGTTTAAAGGAACCATAAGGGTTTAGGGGTTCCTTTAAAGGAACCATAAGGGTTTAGGGGTTAGGGTTTAAGGTTCAGAAAACCTGAAGCCTGCCAGCCAAAGCCTCGGGAACTGCCGGACTCCAGCTGCGATCAGCCCCTGAAGCCCCAAGGATCCCTTCGACCCACCGCGACCCCCAACAAAAAACCCGCTCCGTGGTTTCGGAAGATGACCAGGTGAGCACCCTGGCGGCCGGCCTAATCCTTGGCCATGTTCAACTATTGCTGCTCGGTCTTTAGGGTTTAGGGTTTAGGGTTTTTTTTGCCTCCCACCTTGCTAGGACGAGCCCGCATTGCAGGGTATTTAGGGTTTAGAGTTTAGGTGCTGTGTTGTCTGTCAGTGCTCCTGGTGTGCAACGATCTTTGTGGGGATCGGACCTCCTGTGCAAACCCAATGGCGCCCCCGCACCCATGCACTTCTTCGAGCTTCCAACGGAGTGCCCGCTCTTCGAGGAATTGGATGCAGTCTTGCACACTTTCGAGGTGCGTTGGCTCGCGGGCATTGCGACCCACAAAGAAGCCGACACATGCATGTGCGCCTGCATCCACGTCGTGCAGCTGCTCGCAATCACTTACAAATGCACCACCCATCACTCCCACACATACACTCTCAAACACACACACACACACACACACAAGCGCACGCAGTTTTGCTTTTGCCCTGCTGTGCTCTGCACAGAATTGACGGGTGGGCTCATCCGGTCCTTTAGCAGATCGTTGCCATTGTCTGCCATAGCTACTCGACGGCGTACTGTTCATACCAGGAAGGTCTGCATTCCTGGATCGACGGGTCTTAGCCCCTGGCTCTCACGTCTTGAAAACCAGAGTGTGCCTGCATTCGAGCAGAAAAGCTGCCACGTGCGCTTGATCTCTGCCACGATATCCGCGGGAAATCGGACCTCCAGCAGGAGGGTTTCGGCGCTCACCGGTTTAGGGTTTAGGGCTCAGACAACGCCCTCTGGGGCCCTGCAGGTCTACGACCTCTGTCTCTGCGCCAGCCCATGTTGCAACCCCTATGCCATATACAACACCCAAGCCCTCACCAAAAACACGACACCCTCGACTTTCCCTGCGAAGGGACAGCAGCCGCGACACAGGCAAGAAAGCCACCCCACTTCAACAATGACCACCAGGAACCTTGGACTGTCCCTGTACGCACCTTGTCCAAGCTCTGATCGTAGACCACGGCATATTTGTCCAGAACTTCGTCCTCACGAACAGGTGTCAGCCTCTGCCCCTGCTTGGGCATTCTTGCTTCGTGTCTTGGAAGCAGCAGCGGGGTGGGACATCATGAGCACTGCTTTCTGGCTTCTACTGGTGGCAGGCCTTTGTGAAGGCCTAGAGATGCTTAGGTACAGGTTCTGGGGGTCTTCCGATCCAGGACCCTTAATCAAGCTTGCCGGACGGTCGAGGCTTGTCTCTAGATGGCTTGATGTCGAAGCTGTCGCAGCTCTGAGTTCTCTGCCTACGCAAGATTCCGTGGCGGGTGCGCGGAACGGCCTAGGCTGTGCCTTTCGATTCTGCAGGCCACAGCCTCGCCTGCACATAATAATCCCCTACAGCTTCTCGAAGCCTGCTCCGCAAGTCGCAAACCCTCCCAGCCCTGCACTCGGGCGCTGAACCCTTGGGCCCCCCCGTTGGCTGCACAACGTCGCCCGAACTGCCTGCGCCACAGTCTCATCGTGCTCTGCTTCGGATTCACCATCGCTGCCTCGGTGCTACAGCTCCCGGGCAACGGGCATAACGGGCAACTGCAGGTCGGGCCTTTTCGACACACCTCGGAGCCTTTCCCCATCGCACAGACGGTCGAACTCCGGACACAGGGAGAACCGCGCTGTGGTAGGGCGGGGTTTCAGGGCGGTGTCTGCGTGGTCGGCCCTCTTCCAGTTCCTCCGGATGACATCTTACCCGGCCACGCCATCTTCCGCTATCGCTCCCATAGCAGGAGCTCTGATTCCCTCCCGTACCCTCCGATGCGAACCTCTGGCACAGTATGTGCACATACACACACACACACATGCAGGAAGAGAGGGGGACAGAGACCAAAAAAAAGTGAAACACGCCCACAAAGTCGGACGGAAACACTGTCGCATATGACGATACATGGACAAACGGAGACTCATGCGCACACACGACATGCAGACGAACAGTCTGCATGGGCCATCATGGGCCCCTTCATGTGCCCAGTCACGTTCATGGGTGCGAAGTACGAGTATACCCACAAGTTCCAGTGAAGACGCTGTACATTCCTATAAGTAAGTCCTTCGCACACCTTCTCAAATCCTTCTGAGCCCCCGAAACCTGAGGCTCCCCACCCTCCGCGTCTTGACCCTCCTCCACTTCTGCCTCCGCGTCCTCTGTCGGCTCTTCGTCTAGCTCCTTTCGGCTTAGGGTTTATAGGGATTCAACGGCTCTGAGAGTGTGTGTTTCCTGGGCTTAGGGCCTGTCTTGTTGGGGACCCGGGTCTATTTGCCGGCAGAAGCTCACGACGTGGCTTTGGTGGACCCCATTGACCCCATGAAACCTCAACCCTTCAACAAACAATCGAGATTTGTACTTTGGCAGTTCAATGTCGTCTTGTCAGACACGGCCTCTTCCACCCTCCATGTGTCCTGCATTAGGGAGCAGAGGGCTTTCCCAAAGCCAAAAGCCCCAAACTGCCGCAACAACAGACCTTCGAGCCAGAACTCTTAAGCGATTCGACCTTTGGAGGGGTTTAGGCTTTCGTGTTTCGGGGCTTTGCTGTGCCTCCAGAATCTCCGTTTCCTCCTCCTGTTCTGACGCCATCGCCAACCCTTCCTTCGGAGAGGGTGGGCGAGCTGCTACACTCCTTTGCTAAGGATTTCTCCTTGACGCAAACTTTGCGGACATGCGCAAGATAAATCAAGACAGCATGCAGTGGTCTCTGCACCCGCACCTCCAGGTCACCATATCTCCAACTACTCAACAATCACACTGCTACGATAAGCATGAGGACAAGACTTTGCTGACTACAACTGTCAGCATGCTTGAATTGCTGTCGTCGTACTGAGTAGCAGTAGTAGCAGTAATAGTAGTAGTA